GCCTGCCTCTATGGGATTGTAACATAGGGGTGTCCTGACTTATGCGCCCTGTATTTTAAGGAAGAACATTTATTTATTTACGATACCTTATTCATTCACAAAGAAAATTGGTGTCCTTAAAGGTTGGATTTTTCCTCATTTTTTTTTAATTAAGGCATTAAGATCAATTTCCAAAAGATGTTTTTTTATTCCTCTTTTAAGTCGACTTTAGCATGGGTGCACTTATGCTAAGCACTGTATAACACTTAACACATAAGTAATGTTGAAGATCTGTTAAAATTGTATTTTATTTGTGACGGAGTTAGACTGACCGAAATTAAATCGAATGCTTACATTGTCACAATATGCATGTTTTACCCAACATTTAGCATCCAGATTTTTTTTTAAATAAATAACTAAGAATAGTAATAAATGTGCACTACCAATTACCTTGGGCTCTGGTACATGAAAGAAGCCCAACAGAAAGTTGACTTCACATCTTTGACATAAAAGGCTGTGTCTGAGAAAGTTCTATGTTGTTACAGTGAGCTCTGGTTAATTAAAAGGGATTGTTTTGTGTTGCTGTCATCCACTGTCTCTGTCTCTTGTGCACGCAGCGTGAGAGAGACCCCGTGTAATTACCTTTTAAGAGACACGCCGCTCTCATCAGAAACCATCACTGCCAAAGTCTTCTCAACATTATCAAAACTCCAGGAGCAAAGCAAGGTTCATTAACACCGTTAAGATACACAGGCAGTAATTAAATGATTTTTTCAGCTTACTGAACCATGTTCATTCACTGACTGCACACAGAGGATCAGAGACAGGTTATCTGGCACATTTGGGTTTCAGTTTACCACTAATTCATTGGAGTCACAAGGATAATATACAACTGGAATAACACACAGGAAAAGTCTGAATGGAGACGAGAAGATTGTGAAATACTTTGTTAGTGGTAAAATATACTAACAGATAATCATGTTTAATTTAGATCCTGATCATTTATACAGTGTAATTAACCTAGTAAGAAAAAAGTATGACCACCATTTGTAAAATCCACTATGAAAAGATTATTTTGCATGATCTACAAGGTGAAATTCTCCCAAACAGCCTCAAACTGTCTCAGCACTATTTGGTTTTGGTTTTATTTTATTATTGCTTTATTTCTGAACAACTGACCATGACAGCCAGTGATCACCATTCATTTCTTGTATTTCCTTGTATGGAAAAGAGCAGATCGGACATTTTGATATTTCTGTTTGTGTTCATCTGTAACCATGAGGATTGGTAGATATTGACATACATTTCCATTTAAAGGTTTAAGATCTGCACAGTTTGTTGTTGGTTGGATTTTTTAATGTTTTTGAAAAAATATTTTTTTTAGCTCACCAAGGCTGCATTTATTTGATCCAAAATAAACTATAGTACAGAAATAATGTGAAATATTATTAATATTATCAAAAAATATTATTTATAATAAATTATTGTTACAATTTAAAAGAACCGTTTTCTATTTGAATATATTGTAAAATGTAATTTATTCCTGTGATGCAAAGCTGAATTTTCAGCATCATTACTCCAGTCTTCAGTGTCACATGATCCTTCAGAAATCATTATAATATGTTGATTTGCTGCTCAGGAAACATTTATTAATATTATCAATGTTGAAAATGCTGCTTAACATTTTTGTGGAAAGCATGACACATTTCTTTCAGGATTATTTAATGAATAGAGATTTACTAAAAGAACAGCATTTATTTAAAATATAAGTCTTTTGTAACATTTATATCTTTACCATCACCTGTGATCATTTATTGCATTCCTGCTGAGTAAAAGTATTAATTTATATATACTGTATCTTACTAACCCCAAACTTTTGAACCATGGTGTATGAATGGATGATTTCTGCATGGATGAGTAAACAAAAGTACCAGTAATAATGAGAACTAAGGAGTAGTAATAAAAAGCAGTGCTGTTTCCAATAAATATAAATATTTTTATTAAACCTTTTCTCTTTGACTAATACTGGTACTTTGAAATACAGAAAAAGATGTTAATAGATGAAGAGAAAATTATTTCTAATGGCAAGGGTCTGACTATACCTGTTCAAAAGGTTGTTATCATGGACACAAGTGCCAACTTTTTATTCGCTTTGTGTATTACTATTTTTCCTTGTAATCAGGATGATAGCGAAACCAGGACGGAGCAACAAAGCAATGCATCAACAAAAGAATAACAAGCTGTAGTGAACCAGGCCTGTCCCACATGACACACTTGAGGAGTTCCAGACTTGCAATAGCTGTTGCGTGTGTGTGTGTGTCTGTGAACTTCACGAGACTAGGGTGGACAATTTAGGTTTCAGAAGGAGCTCATGTGCCCCTGATATGCCCTTTTGTTCAGCTCTACAATAACACCATCAAAGTGTGGAGTCGGAGGAATAACGTGAGGCCTTGGGGCTGCATTTGGAACAGGACCCTTGACAATGATTTACTAATTAAATCTATTTTGAAGGGTTTTAGTACTTCACAGTAAAAAATCAAACGAGTAGAAACTTTCAGCGCCAATGTGGATTGATGAAATTGGCAGACTTGGTGCGCTGCAAACTCAAAGAAGAGAACTAATAAGCATCAGAATAGCATCGCTTCACTAAGCCTTTAAAACGCAGGAGGCATCGTGACGCCAAACAAAGATGCCGTGACGCCAAACCTCCTCATGGAAAAAGAAGGCTGTCGTGTTTATAACTGTGACAATGAACGCTTTTCAGGAGCAACTAAACGCTGGATTTAAACTGTAAACCCTAACGCTCAAAATACTTAATTGGTTTGAGTAGGAAAAACTTAAATTAAACTAATTAGTTCAGTCAAATTAACTTTTATGAGTATTTAGCACTTTCTTTTTCTTTCAAGTTCACAGAATGGATATATTTTAAGTAAACTGAACTGTTTCATTGTTTTGAGTTTTATGAAATTATTTCTTTTAATTTAGACGAACTTAAGTTTAACTGAAACGGCTGGGATGTATATTTCCCAGCATGCTTTGCCGATGGCACTCGAAAGGGAGAGTAAATGCTAAAATTAAGTGTAATACAATGTTTTTTTGTGCAAGATTAATGTTAAGCGGGTGATTTAGTAATGATTAATGTTTCGTTATGCTAATTTAGAAGAATTTCTGTTAATGTTGGTTTTAGGATAGTTACCATCATGGTGACAAGTGGTGCATGAGCTTGATTTGAGAGCAAATAAAACCTCTGTATTGCTGAAAGTGTTACTGTATAGCATACTATTGTTAAGATGTTAACAAAATAGTATGTTAGCAAACTAGCTTGTTAAAGCTAGCTAAGTTTATACTAATAAAAGTGTTCACACTGAGATTACTTGAAATTTTAAGTTAAATGTATGAATTAGTGTACTCAAACATTTCAAGTTAAGAACAATTCAAATGTACAAATACAAAATAAAAATATGTCAGTTCTGCTTACTTAAACTTTGAATTTCTTAACTTAAAAAATTTGAGGCAATTTATTGCCTTAAATTTTTTGAGTTGTGCCAACTTATTCGGGTTTACATGTCAAGTCTGTAAAGTTCGAAGCATAGACTCTTTAAAATACGTCCAAGAGTTTTACACACCAGACTGTTATTATCGACGTTACATTTTCACACCTCTAAACATGACGCGGAACAGTGATTGGTTGCTTTACATGTCAGTCCTTGGCCAATGAAAGCTGCTATGGAGTCCAGACCTTCTGCTGTCAGTCTGAGGCCCCGTTTACACGAGAACGATTCCGGGTAAAAACGTAAAAATATTTTATCGGATGTGCCTTTCGTTTACACGGCAACACCGTTTTGGGGGCTTAAAAACGCAAAAAAGTGAAACCACCCTCCAGAGTGGAAATCTTAAAAACGCTCCACCATCGCGTTCCCGTCTAAACGGTAAAAAACGCAAATCTGCTCACGGTGGCTCTCGTCGCGCACGCGTTTACGTCACATGCATGCGCCAGTACAGGAAAATAACAACCAACATGTCAGATTATTTCCATACGTCGGACCTTCAAGTTGCCCTAGCAGCTCTGATAAACATACAAGAGTCTTTTCAGCAGTTGTACAAAATATTCTAAGATATTGGTGTTGTTGTGTGGCAGTGCTTCACATTGCCACCTAGCCGCCTGGAGTGCATACTACATCGAATTTCACACACTTTTGCGTCACTATGCACGCGAATTTCCCAACCATAACGCTCGTCTAAACGCAGAATAAAAAGTGATAACGCAACGCCACTTTTGCGTTTTCACTTCAGATCGTTTCCGTGTAAACATAGCACGAAGGTCTGGCAACGGGAGACTAATCAGGACCAGGGTTAAAAACCCACTGATATAGAAACTGGTTCACAGAGATCATTGCCCCCTAGTGGTGAACCATTTAAATCATTGCCCCCTAGTGGCGAACCATTGAAATTGTGAAACATTTCGAAACAATTATGATACAGCCAAGCCTCATTTACGGAAATTAAGTGATTTTGCCCTGAATAACTGGTTAGAAACAATTGATTCGCAAAGGTTTTAAAGCTTCACAAAGCAGTGTTTCGAAAGTGGCCATCACTATAACTATAAGACAGGGTGCTAGAAAAACTGTGTAGTCATCACCTGTCAGCGGCGTGTGTGTGGTCTTAAGGAAGAATTATGATTCCCCCCCTTGAGAGTCTGATAATAAAGGACCATTGTGCCACTCTTATGCTCTGTCACCTGACAATTTGGGTCAAGTTAATTCGGTGTTGTCTCATTACATTGTGCACCAGAGGTAACAAAGGACATTTATGCCTCAGGGACACTCTAGAGACCTTTCCTGACCTGATTATTGTAGCAAGCGTGACAGATTTCCTGCCAAGTTTGGCATGTTCCACATCAAAGCAACATTCAAAAGGAAAACTTTCAAGTAAATGCAATCTAATTCAAAATAAGAAAAGAATTAATCGAAATTAAACTTTGTATTTTAATATCAGATATGTAGTTAGAAGCATTAACTCACATTCTTGAAGCCCCGGTAGAGGATTTGAAGCTCTTTGCGTGAGAAACGCGTTTGAGCCTCCAACAGCTCCAAAGCTTCTGGTCGATGCCGTACAGCAGAGAGCTCCAGTTCATCCTCAACACTATCTGTAAAGAAACACAAAACATCCGGGTTATGATTCAACTACTCATCTTAACAGCATTAATCACAGTTCTTTTAATTAATAATTAGTGTACCAAATAATGACAAAACTATTGAGGACTTTATATTTCACAGGGGATATCAGATGTACAACATTTAATGAGATCCAAAATATATATTTTTTTCTACATTAGTACTTATAAAACACAAATGATAGTTACATCGTTAACTACTAAAGCCACAAGTGACTGTATGAGTGAGTCATTGAATCATTCACTGCAACCAATTTGTTCAAAAAACACTGATTCATTAATGAACGAAACAAGTGACTGACGATGTCCAAAATTGTACTTACTTTGCAATTGTTAAAAAGTATGTACTATATACAGTATAAATGAGCGTAGTATGAATGTAATCTGGACGTACTACATTCGTCATAGGCTTCACAGGCATTCACAAATCCTCTTCCATGGCCTCAGCGTGAAAGTTTAAAAACTCAGTGCTAGTGCTACTTTTTGCACACTTTTATAAATACTGTGAATTGTGGACATGTTACTCTTTTCACATAATGTTTTTCGCCTACTATATAGTAGGCAAGTATGCATATTCAGTTACAGCCAGTCTTTATGAGTGAGTCACTGAATCACTTCAACTGATTTGTTTAAAAACACTGATTCATTTATGACTGAAACAAGTGTATGTCTGTACGAGTGAGTCAGTGAAGCATTCACTCAACCAGTTTGTTGAAAAGCACGGATTAATTTAGGAACAAAGAACCACTGGTGTGTTGCTCACAGACTTGCAACATTATGCTTTGGCTTTAATTGAAACAATTTTCCTTGTCAAAAATACACGAAGTAACTGAGGATATATTGTGTCTAAATTTGAATGTACATTACTCAATATTAACTTGTTGAACTGTTGTTCAAAAAAAGCAGCACACATTTAATATTGCAAATATGTTCCATTCATTCAGAGGTTCAAGATGAAACCAAACCTCAAATATCCAAAGCATGTTTTAAGCTCTGTTCTAAGACTTTCCATATGTCCATATTATCTTAACAGGTCTTGGTGTCTCAACCTTATTAGCCTTAAATCTAAAAAAGCTTTCAGCTCATATAAGCCCGTTCACACCAAGGACGATAACGATAAAGATATAGTTCTAAAAATATGTCTCAATATTAAAGAATAACAGAGTTCACACCACAGCTATAACGATAACGATGTGGAGAAACGATATCGTTGGGATCACTTTCGTAACGATTTTTTTCCAGCTGTTGAACTATAAAATACTGACAGCCAATCAGAATTCATTGTAATTTAAGGGCTCGCGCATTTAAAATGTATATGAAAAACAATTGTTCATATTCTCTGAATAAATGGTACCGTTTCGCTCATTTCGTTTGGACAAAATTGTCTTGCTTCCTTTGAAGTTGCGGTAAAAAAGACAAGATGTTGTTTTTATTCCACTATATTGACTAATTTACGTAATCTGAATTCACTGTTAGATTATTAGATCGATTACACTAACTTCACTCAAAACATACAGTAGCATGCTGAGGGATTTGCAGGTTAAAGCCGTGTAAATGCAACAATAACCTCAAAAACATGTCCAATAACGTTGTACGCACACTTTGAAACCGCTGCGCACGAGCTTAGAATAAACAGACCGTTATCGTTCATTGGTGTGGATGCAAATACAGTTATCATTATGGTTATCTTTATAGTTATCGTTCTTGGAACTTGAACGGCCCTTTCGGACATTGCGTTTCTCTAGCTCAGATCATCTAGCATCCGATTTGACCTGTGACTGAGATTTACACATTTTTTACACCCCTAAAGGCTAAATAATCTTTAAAAATAATCACTGTGGAGCAGGAGCCAATAAAACATTAATCAATGGGAGGTGATGGTGGCTATGGAAGGCACAGCGATTACTTTTGACACCTGAAGCGTGGAAGACAAATGGCAGACATATGACCCTGTGATCCACAGAAGACGACTCGTCAACCGTTTGGCAAACAGAACTGACCTATATAAACATCATTTTCTCATCCCAGAAGTGTCCCTCTGGGTGTATAGCAATCAAATGTGACAGACTAATCGTAGCATCATTACCACTTCATGCTAACAGCCCCGTTTCATAGCATGATGCATATGTATTTCAATAACAGCATTCTTTGGCATCTAAATGTGTTCGTTAAAAACACAAAATAGAGCATTTAACAATCAGCAGTTAATATGACATTTCATCATTTGCTAGTCTACTTCAAGAATTCAATACTTTTGATATTAAAAATTTGCTACAATGTTGGAGAGGGTATTCAGCGGTTATAACATATCCAGTATGATATACTTAGCAGAATGTCTTTGGATTACATAAAAATAATGAAAAGAGTGAGAGATACAGAGGTCAAACATGAAATAGTTAAGAAAAGTTAAATAAAAAGAAATGAAAGGAGTGACATTACCCTTGTGAAAAACAAGTACACTTTTAAGAGTACATATTGTGGAAATTATAGGCCTACTTAATTGTGTCAAAAAGCACACTTCAGCTAATTGCATTTTATAGTTTTAAATTATAATACATTTTCATTGGATTCAACATTACATTCATTTAACAGGACATCTTTACATGCAATTTCATAATTCTATTATGTTTGAATTATGGTGAAAATGTACTGCTGAATGTAGTGATAAGCATTTATGATCAACTAAAATTATTCTTTAATGCCATTTCTATTGAAAATTGTATGCATTTGAAAATATACTTATAATTACACATTTGTAATAAAGTTGTAATTTAGTACATTTCAAATATATTAAATGTGATAGTAAAAATACTCTTATACACTTATATCTTATATACTCATACAAGTAGTTACATGTGATTTATAATGTTTACTCAACAAGTCAAAATAAGTGTATTTATTTAAATCACAACAAAATATTTAATGATTTAACCCTCTGGGGTCGGCAAATGTTTTGCTTGATTTTTCACACATATAGCAAAATAGACTTAAAATACTCCTTCATTTATGGTCATACAGACCTAAGAAATATGGGGAAAAAAAAAACTGTAAAATGTCTACTTTTTTATGTTACTTTCAAGTAAAACTTTCAATGTGACATACTTAAGTGTATTTAACTCATGAAAGTGTGCTCTCTTTAAATACACATAAGTGGCCTTTTATTTCAATAATATTATATTATCTGCAAGTACAGTTTTAAAAAATATATACTTTTAGGATATGACGTAGGCTTACACTATAAGTTCACATTCAATAAATCAAGTGCACTTCTTTTTCACAAGAGTATGGACAATACGCTGATAGAAATAGAGCTGTTTGAGGAAAGATGCTGCAGACTTGTGTTGAAAGAGGACTTGCTTTGTGTACTGGTGGATGGGGCTTTGGTAGAAGAGCATATGAACAGCTTCTTGAGCCGTGCCGCAACACCACACCTGCTGCCGTTCGGAAGGCAAGCGTTACCTAGGAGATACAGTGTGAGTGTCAACACAGTAACCATGCTGGAACGGAGCATCGGGCGGCGGCATGCTGGCGGCATTCTGGCTAGTTCATGAAGCAAAGGAGGCATGGATGTGTAGTTTGAGTTTCGTGCAGATCCAGGATCAGTATTAAGCTTTGTCAGTCTGTTAGAATAACTTGATGACTTGTTCTTTTTTTTAATGCTGCTGAGCGAATTATATTCCTATTCTCTAAACCTCGACCCAACCATCACATAAATCTTTCTACATCTTTGATCTTAGTCTGGTATCCTTGTTGGGTACACTTTGCTGGTTCTCACAATGTAGGTGACTTGAGCTTTTACTGTCTTTGTGGAGACATTAGATGCCTGCAGTGTAGGCAATACCTGCCCTATTTCCACATTAAACCAGTTCACTGACCTTAAAGAGGACCTATTATGCCCTTTTACGAGGTCTTGTGAGTAACGCTCTGGGGTGTGTTTTCCCTACAACGATGTAACTTGCTGATGTAACTACCATGGTATGATGCATCGTTGGAGAAACTAACCAACTAGTCACGACTGTTTCCTCGAAATTGTAGTAACATGGTCGCTCCTCTGTCGTTTGAACCACATTGTTTCAGCAATATGACTGTCGTTAATAATGTCACACGTAGGTGGAAGACTAATAACTTCAGCAATAAAGATGCTGCTGTAACGATCATGGCACCTAATGACTACTTCACTGTTTTTGTTCCGAGTCATTTATTTGATGTTTGATTCATCGTAGTTCCCTTGCGCATTTTACGCAAATGCACACTTCAAAAACAGCAGGAACTGTTGGCACACTAAAATATATCTTGAAATGTACAGTATATACAATGAAAGATATAGGGCCCTGTCATACAAGTGTTTTTTGCTAGTTTCAGCCCGACGCAGTTATCATTTTCACGTCCTGCACCACGTTGTTTAAATAGCAAATGTATCTGAAAACGAGCTGTGTTCAGGCGCCAGTGATGGAGTACTCGAGTCCTGGACTCGGACTCGAGTCCGACTCGAGTCCTTATTCTCTGGACTCGAGTCCGACTCGAGACTCCATGCTCTGGACTCGTGACTCGACTCGGACTCGCGGACTGATGACTAGTGCTTGGACTCGGACTCGAGAATATATAAGATCGGACTTGAGCATTCATCAAATGAATGACGTTGTTTCTGACTAAATAGGTTATAAAAATTTGATATAAGATGTTACACTTTTCCTGTTTCGGGGTCCAAGACCGGCCGTGATCTATTTTTTCCCTCACAGACACTGCTACCGCTCGCTCTCCTTGCTTGACAACACACTCACTGACGTCACTCACTTTACGCTGCATTCTCGTGAGAGAGATAACGTAACACTCATTTAACACTAGATAAGTTCCTCTACATCTAATCAGCCATTTCGATTTTGGCACGCTTTGCAGCAGCTGAGCTGACCACAAAGGAGCGCTGAGCCAAAGTCGGATGCGCTCAGCGCTTAATCCCGCTTATCATACGATAA